TCAACTACATTCTTAATGCTGATGGTCCTGCTCCCCTTGAACTACCCAATCAGTGGCTCTGGGATATCATCGATGAGTTCATCTACCAGTTTCAATCATTTAGTCAGTACTGCTGTAAGACTGCCAAGAAGTCAGAGGAAGAGATTGACTTCCTTCGTTCCAATCCCCAAATCTGGAATGTTCACAGTGTCCTCAATGTCCTCCATTCCTTAGTAGACAAATCCAACATCAACCGGCAGTTGGAAGTATACACAAGCGGAGGTGACCCTGAGAGTGTGGCTGGGGAGTATGGATGGCACTCCCTCTACAAGATGCTTGGTTACTTCAGCCTGGTGGGGCTTCTGCACCTGCACTCCTTGTTGGGGGATTACTACCAAGCCATCAAAGTGTTGGAGAACATTGAACTGAACAAGAAGAGCATGTATTCCCGTGTACCAGAGTGCCAAGTTACCACATACTATTACATCGGTTTTGCATATTTGATGATGCGTCGCTACCAGGATGCTATTCGGGTCTTTGCCAACATCCTCCTCTACATCCAAAGGACCAAGAGTATGTTCCAGAGGACCACGTATAAGTATGAGATGATTAATAAGCAGAATGAGCAGATGCACGCACTGCTGGCCATCGCCCTCACTATGTACCCAATGCGTATTGATGAGAGCATTCACCTCCAGCTGCGGGAGAAGTATGGGGACAAGATGCTACGCATGCAGAAAGGTGACCCACGGGTTTATGAGGAACTTTTCAGCTACTCCTGCCCCAAGTTCCTGTCACCTGTAGTGCCCAACTATGACAACGTGCATCCGAACTACCACAGAGCCCCTCCTGCAGCTGCTGAAGGTGTTTGCTGATGAAGTGCAGCAGCAGGCCCAGCTCTCAACTATCCGCAGCTTCCTCAAGCTCTACACCACCATGCCAGTGGCCAAGCTAGCTGGCTTCCTAGACCTCACGGAGCAGGAGTTCCGGATCCAGCTTCTTGTCTTCAAACACAAGATGAAGAACTTGGTGTGGACCAGCGGTATCTCTGCCCTAGACGGCGAGTTTCAGTCAGCCTCCGAAGTTGACTTCTACATTGATAAGGACATGATCCACATTGCAGACACCAAAGTTGCCAGACGCTATGCTATGGGGATTTCTTTATCCGCCAAATCCACAGATTTGAGGAGCTTAATCGAACCCTAAAGAAGATGGGCCAAAGACCCTGAGGACATTCACACCCATGTTTATCAGGAATCTGCTCTAATATTATAGACGGGAAGTGTTTTTGCACCATGAAATCTTTACCTAGGTCAG